TGCCGCGCTGGCACTGCACCGCCGAGCTGCCGCGGGCAGGGCCGGAGCGAGACGGTTGCGTAAGCCCCACAGGCTGCGAGCAGCCCTGTCTCCTGCTCAGAGAACAGGCCAAGTCTGCTCATGCTTGCGCAGACTTCGTGCCTGTCACTCAGGGTGCAGAAGGTGTTTTCTCGATTGGCCGTAGACCAGAGCCTGCAGTCTCTTCTGCATATGCGAATTCGCAGTGATTACAGCATCCTGACCGGCATTAGTCTCGATGTGCACTTCTGGAGCTGCTCGCTCTGCCAGCCCAGATGTGAGAGAGAAATGTAGTAACGTGTGGCTTTCGGCATCCCTCTGCACTCCCCCAGCCACACGCTCTCACACTTGGCCTCTTCGCTGTGGGTGTAGTGCAGCTGATTTTTAGGCAGCTGCAAATTCCTTTTGCCTTTCACATTTCAGTAAAGCAGGGCTGGTTGGCTCAGCTGTGGCTCAGGATTGCCATGTCATTGGGAAGCTACCGCATGAAACATTCACAGTCTATATAAGCCCTAGAGCAGTTTTTTGCATTTAGTGTGGTACACCAGCCAACCTCTGCCTCTCGCTGCGCTGCAGAGACTGAGCACGCAGGGGTGGTGGTAGCCACATCCCCGGTCGGGTGGGAATCGCGCACTGACGTCTTGGTGGCACCCACCGCTCTCTCTGGGTTTTTCTGCTGTGCAGGACAGGCTCCGATCACCCCGGCAGAGTTCAGCTCCCCTACGGTGTTATTTACTACAGCTGAACCCTGTTTGCCATCAGCTGATTTTTACCTTTGCATTTGATCTGTGTGTACCCCCAGGGAAGTCTCCTGGTGCGTTTATCCCCAAACACGCTCCATTACCAACAACAGCACGCTCTCCCCTGGGAGTCTCCAAGGAAAATGTCTGGAGCAGCACCAGGACACTTTCCGAGCCCTGCCTGGGACTGCAATCTCTGCTTCCAAAGGGGACTCCTGCTGCCACCCCCTGCCCCAGCGCGGTCCCTTCGGGGCAGCAGCAGGTGCCAGGTTCAGAGGTTCCCTGGTTTAGTTACTTTTTCTCTGAAGAAGGGGTTATGGATAGCAAGGTAGGTCTGCCTATAATTGATATTGCATATAAACCACTTACTCCCAAGTAACAGGCTTCATCTTCCCACAAACTGTGTTCTTGGAGCGGTCGCTTCTCTTTTCCACCAACTTTGAGCTGCTGAAGCCCATCTGCTTTTATCACTTAAAAATCAGCCCCATTTTTTAGCACCTGTGCACGGTGGCTTGTAAATCTCAACTCGTATGAAACTGGTGAAGATAAACGGAGGCAATGAACTGAAATGGTTCAGTTTGTGCAGAATTGCAGGGGAGGGCAGAGGTGCAGAATCCATGTGAAGCCGCTGTGTCTGCTGCCCCGGCACCCTGTCCCGCAGCTGCAGGCAGCTCATGGGCACTCCTGCCAGGAGAGCTCCTCGATTTGGTGCAAAGCGCTGTTGCAAGACACCTCAGGGAGCTGGTACCAGGGAAGGATGAAGCAGAAATCCGGTCCCAGTGCCTGTGCCTTGCTGGGCTGCATCACAGCAGCACACCAAGCTGCTGCGGGGTTCTCAACTTTCTTCAAACATCAGCGAGTAAATAAATCAGTTACTGAAGTCACTGACACGCTGTCAGTCTGCTTTTTAGCGCTGCCAACGGATGAGTGCGGCGTACGGTCGCTGCAATCCCGTCCCCGCTGATGAAAATGTAAATGTCAGTGGCTTCTCCAAAGCACTTGGCGCTGAGGAGCCCCGATGCCTTTCCCAGCTAAGCCTGACAAGCAGCGTGTGAAGGACAGCCAGCCTCTCCAGCGCCGCAGCCAAGCGCCTGAAATGAGCCAGAGCCACATGCTTTCAAAAAGTAGTCTTCCCAATTGTGCTGTTATTTTCACTCTAACAAGTGGGTGGGCACTGAAGACCTCAGTCCTCGGGCTGTGTCCCCTGCCTTGTCCCAGTCCTCGGGCTGTGTCCCCTGCCTTGTCCCAGTCCTCGGGCTGTGTCCCCTGCCTTGCCGCCCCAGGGCTGGCGCACTGCTGCCTTTTCCCCAAACCCCAAAGGGGGCTGCTCTGCCCAGGAAAGAGCCCCGGGACAGGCTCTGCCCCAGCTCCAGCTCCCGGGGTGGCTCAGGGCTCTGCGGGGGAGCCGGGCACGTTGCGGTGGGGAGCACAGGGCTCCAGCCCCGTGTCGTCTGCCTCGGGCCAACAAGAGGGTTAATTCTGCTGTCCTTAGTGTCTCAAAAGTTATCTGTGAGACCCACTTGTGTTTCCTCTGCCAGTCTGCTACAGTCTGAAATGCTTTTCAGTTCCACCCTATTGATGTTGACTTCTCCTAATTTATTTTCAAAACATCCAAACTCCTGTTCTTGATGTGACTGGAGGATTTCTGCAGACTCTTTCAAATGGAAAGCAATTCATTTCCACTGAGCACTCGCATCTAACATGATGAGAGAGTGCAAGGAGGGAAAATGGGAAGCAAAGCGTGGTTTCAGAGTCCGTTTGTTTTGCCGACAGACCGAGGAGCAGCTTACATTGATGGAGCGTGGTGGATCGGTCTGAGGATCCTCACTGGGGCTGATGTGATTAATGAGGGAAACTTGCACCAGCAGAAGCAGTGCATCCCACTTATTGTAATAAATAAACCTGCAAATGGGTGAAACTGGTTTAAATGGGAGGTTGAATGGATTCTTCTGCATGAGAGGGGCTTTGGCTGGGTGATAGACCGGCACGTAATTGGGTTTTGATCACTGCGCACGTTGTGGAGGGGGTGTGCGAGGCAGAGAAAACCTTGCTGGCTTTTTCTTCCTATTGGCTATATACTGACTCTTTTCCACTTTTAAGTTTTTACCACTTCATAACTTGATGGGCTCTGTGTTCAAGCTCTTGATGCCCTCCCCCGATGCTGCTTGCACCCTGAGGGTGCCGAACCAGGGCCCGACTCAGGGGTGAAAGGTGATGAAGGGAGGTCTGTGACTCGGACATCAGCAAACCCCCTGGACTGGGTTCCTCGAGGTGATTAGGTGGCAAGGAAGTAGATGTGTCGCTTGTTAGACTTGGGGTTCCTGAATAATTTTGGAAATACCACTGGTAGCTTTCTGTATCATTTGGCACCTGAATCTCTTTTCAGGACTATAATGGGAGCCACAGGATAATAAGTTCTTATTTTTAAGTATTGGCTGTGGCAAGCTAGAAGCATTGCAGATCCACGTTTTCCTTTATCCTGCCTGTGCCCTCTCCCTCGTGCAGGTGATGCTGGCGGAGAGGAAGGGCACCGATGAGCTCTACGCCGTTAAGATCTTGAAGAAGGACGTCGTTATCCAGGACGATGACGTAGAGTGCACAATGGTTGAAAAACGCGTCCTGGCTCTCTCCGGGAAGCCTCCGTTCCTGACCCAGCTCCACTCCTGCTTTCAGACGATGGTAAGTGCTGTGCCGCCGCAGAGTGGACTGAGGACCATGCTGGACCCTGAACATTGAGCGGGGGGAGTCTGAGCTTTGCAAAATGGATTTTGGTCACTTGGCTCAGTGGTGAGTTTGTGAGCAGAAACCCTTTTCTAGAGACCGAGTGTCACCAGTTATCCAGGCGCAGTGCCTTTCTGGGTGGCTGCAGGGCGCCCGGGAGCTGTGTGGATGGAGCTGTAGGGACTTCTGCCCTGGTCACCCATTTTAGCTTCTTGAAAACGTACCTTTGCTTTTATTCGTGTTTCTTTTCTGGATATACATCACTACACTTGCAAAAGCAGCCATGTATTTTCTGCCTTGGCAACCTCACAGCTTGTCAAATTTGCTTGCAAAAATGCCTCCGTGAACAAAATGTGTGTGTGTTAAACTAGAGGCTGTAATGGAGAATGTCTGCACCCCTGAGATTTTTTCATCAGGGAGCTGTTGATGGCGCTATATGTGATTTCTCAGCCCCTCAGGTGCCCCCCCCCCGTGATGTCCGTTACGATTCGATAGCAAAGTGTTGCACTTTTTCTCAGGATTCATTCTTGTGATCAAAAATTGGAGCAGAGAGTGAAACCTAATACCAACCTCAGGAAATTCAGTTTGAAATGGGCGTGTGACTGAGTTTGTACAAATCAGGAGTGGGGAGGGGGAGTGGGGAAGGGGACAGGGGACCCTAAAGCAATCTCTGGCCAGCCATAGAGCAACCTGTGAATTAAAATGTCCAGGTACTTGTCAGCAGGAGCAGGAAGAGGGAATCAGCAGAGTCCTTTAGAATGATGACAATGCTATCCAGGAGGATTACATTTTAATATTATCCCAGAAATTTCATTTACCAAACACATTCAGTGTATTTAAAGCCTGCGGACCGGCTTTGCAGCACAGTAATCAAAATGTGGCAGGAGAAGCTATTTCACACAGCTATTTCTCTGGCATCTGAAGTGAGTCAGTGCAGGATTATTCCTGGCAGACCTATAGTAGTTTAATAGTAATCGTATTTGTAATGTAATCAAAATGTATAGCAGGGTGTATTATCAAATGCTGGCACAAAGCACTCTGAGTTCTGGGAGCACAGTCCGGAGCGCGGTTCTCAGCTGGGACTGTTAGTTCATCAACCGGTGGGATATAGAAGAGCCCTAAATCTGCATTTTAAAGAGTAAGTGAAGATGAGCAATGAGAGCGCTCCTGCCTGGTCTGAAGGGACGAGAGAAGCCCCGTGCTGGTCTGGCTGAGGGAGCTTGGGGTGCTCTGCCCTGAAAAGGTCCTGGTTCTGAGCCAGGGCTCCCGGGAGCGGGGGTGAGCCATGCCTTTGCTGATGACCTCCCTTCCCGCTGGATCTCAGCAGCGAAGGGCACAGCAGCAGCAGCGACACTGAGCAATGATAAATAACGGGCGGATGGGGAACTCGGCTGTTGTCCTGGCTCCGACTCTTGTTCACAGTGGGGAGTCAGGCAGGAGGAGGACCCAACGAGTGGTTAATTACAAGGAGGGCATTAGAAGGAGCCCTGGGAGTTGCGCCTTGGCTGCCCAAGGAAGGGGCCTGCGTGTTTTACCAGCTCCATGCAAGTCTCTGCAGGGGATATTTACGTATCTGTAACTTGCTGTCGCGCAGTGAGTTCGGATTCTCCAGACTTGGACAGACCCCATCCTTTTCTGCCATAGACAAGAGCCAGGACAGCTTTCCGTATCCAACCCTCTCTTCCAGCCTGTAGGCTGGCCAGCCATCTGGCTGCTTTATTCATGACATTTTTTTTCTCTGAAGCACCAGCATTCTCTTCTCCACCCAAATGAGGAAAGCTCAAATCCTGCTTTTAGAGCTCAGCTGGCTGTTTCAAGAGACCATCTTTTTAATATTCTTCCTTCTTGAAGTTGATCGATATATTTAGGAAACAGCTGCAAATGAGCACAATATTGCTTTCCTTTCCAGTTACTGTCACAGGATGACTAGCGTGACAGTGGCTGCTGAAGGTGACTTTGCCTGGCCCGTGCCTTACTGCTGAACTGGATTGATGCCTTGGCAGAGGCAGTCATTTACAGAGGGGTACGCGCCAAAATTCCCAGTCATCTGATAAGCCAAAATCTCTTTTCTATCCCGTCAGTGCCACATGTTTTACATAGCCTGATTGCCCCTTCGGTATCATATTTAATTACCTGTGAGGCCGCCCCGCTGTCAGGGTGGGCTGTGCATCGCCAGGCTGTGCTGCGCCTGGGGTGGAGGAGCTGATTACCCGAGTTACTCCGTAGCTTTTATGGTGATGCTCACATTTGCATATCTTCTGGGCTCCTTGTCCTTACTGTGTTAAAAGCAGGGCAAGGTTTATTTAAGGAGGAATGAAGAATGGGAAATATTGTGAATTATTTTGTAATACTGCGAACCTGAAGCTCTCGCAGTGCTCCAGCCTTTGTGTCTTTCCCTCCATGGTGCGGGGCTGGGGTGAGCCCGGTGATGTCTTTGGGCTCCTGTGCGTCGAGGCCCCACGACTGGTTTTTGGAGGCTGTAGAAAGTTGCTTGTTGTAAGAAGGGTGGCTGATGTTACGCAGCGCGTTGCTGTTCTCATCCATAACTGACGCGCGCACAGGTCAGAGCATAGATGTCTGCTGGCAGGGAAGATCCGCTCGGGCGGCAGTCCGTGCCCCAATCCTGCATGCACTCCGGTGGTCTGGAGCTGTCGCTTTTCCCTCCCTGAGGAATGTCCTGCGCTCTTGGCAGGTTTAGGTTGGTGGTTTTGGCAGTCTTGTATGGTTTTCTTCTCAGCCATTTCCCATTACAAAAAAGAGCTGTGGTACGTCAGAGGAAAGTGGTGTTTCAAGGGCATGGATTCCCCAGGGTAAAGGTGTCGCTGGTGTGGAGCTCCCACTTGCCCAAATCTCTTCCCCCTCAAGACTTGCAGTGCTCGTGCTAGAGCTCTGTTCGGGGTGTGGCATGATAAGATCCAGCCGCTTTTGTTTTATTAATCCATGGTTCTGAGCTTTGTGGGAATGCTCGGGTCTTGTTGCTCTCCTCGGGGTTGATCATGGCCCACCCTTTCTCAAATTTCTAGCAATGTTTAAAGGACTGGGCTTACATCCAGCAAAACTAACGCTGGCAATGAATGCAGGAGCCGTGCTGTGTACACAACACCCTCACCAGCTCACCGCAGTCTCCATGGCTCCAGGGCAGTGCACGCTGCAAGCCTGAGCCTGCCCCTGCACATGGCTTGACTTTTCCTGGGGACGGTGCACATCACTTCAGAAGCTTACCTGGGAATTCCTTAGGTCTGCACCTATGTGGCTGCCACAGCGTGGAAGAGGAGGGGTGCTTTAATCTGGAGAGTCTTAATGAAAGTAAAGTGCGTATTACACATTAGAGGCAAAGTCAATGTATGCTTATAGGTGGCTGTGATTGCACCTACTAGCAAGTATTTTAATTGATTCAAAGTCACCGATTGACCTGTTTGTTCTACTCTTAACAATTAATTAATTAATTAACCATGTGTGAACATTAAGTGCACCCTCAGACCAGGCTGGGAGGAGCGAGGAGAGGGGATGTGCCAGGAGAGGGGGGCTCTGCAGCCTCCTCCTGCCTCCCCATCTTGACCGGGGGCTGCTGGGTCCCCCGCAGGCACGTGCGTCCCCGTCACTGCCGCAGGCTGCTCCCGGGGAGAGGGCGAGACTGGTGAGCTGGGGATGTCACACATCCCTCCTGGTGCGTGGCCAAATCGTCCTGGTCGTTGCCTGCGCGCGGAGGCTGGTCCCCGTAGGAACTGCTCACGTCTCTTGTGCGTCTCTTAATTGAAGCCGTGCAGCGCCTGGGGAAATACCAGCAAGGAGCTGTCTGAACAAACACCCTGCAAAATGGACTCAGTGAAGAATGACAGCAAATTTATTAATGGGAAGTGAAAAACCTCTGTTTTAGGAATTCCTCCACTTGCCTTCTCCATCAGATCTATCTGCGAAGGTGCAGAGCTTAGGTCCAGAGTGTTGGAAAGGAATTAGTACATCTGTCTTACGGGCTCCATATGAACACGAGCTCCACCTGCACCCCTCGGGGAGGGCAATGGTGATAATTGTATTGCCATGAAAAATACAGACTGCAGCTGTCAGTTGCCATGGTCCTTAACTTCTGACCCCTGTGGATTCCCTGCTCTAATAATTCTCCTGCTAATTGTTTGCTTTTTTTCTTTAGGATCGCTTGTATTTTGTGATGGAATACGTGAATGGTGGGGACTTAATGTACCAGATCCAGCAGGTTGGGAGGTTTAAAGAGCCACATGCTGTGTAAGTTCCGTAGCCCTAGTTTGGCACCTTCAGGGTAGGTATTTGGTGTACCTTTGTCATATAGCTGGAAATACAGTCCAAGGCACAGGCTTTTGTGGTGCGAGTCCTGGGCAGAAAGGGAGGGGAAAGGAAGGACAGCAG